AAAAAAAAGTCCTAGCTTCTACAGACCAATTCCACCTCAGACGGAGAGGACACCTTCTCAAGGTGTCCCCTGCAAAGTTTCAGGACTTTTATTTTGTATGATTTTCTGAATGTATGCACAAAACAGTTACTATATTAGATTTGGGGGGCTCTTATTTTGTAAAACAACATCAGAATGTCCTGAAACTTTGCAGGGGACACCTTGAGAAGGTGTCCTCTCCATCTGAGGTGGAATTGGTCTGTGGAAGCTAGGACTTTTATTTTTATGATTTTCTGAATGTATGGACAAAACAGGTAATATATGAGATTTGGAGGGCTCTTATTTTGTAAAACAACATCAGAATGTCCTGAAACTTTGCAAGGGACACCTTGAGAAGGTGTACTCTCCATCTGAGAAGGAATTGGCTTGTGGAAAATAGGACTTTTATTTTTATGATTTTCTGAATGTATGGACAAAACAGGTGATATATGAGATTTGGAGGGCTCTTATTTTGTAAACCAACATCAAAATGTCCTGAAACTTTGCAGGGGACACCTTGAGAAGGTGTCCTCTCCATATGAGGTGGAATTGGTCTGTGGAAGCTAGGACTTATATTTTTATGATTTTTTGAATGTATGGACAAAACAGGTAATATATGAGTTTTGGGAGGCTTTTATTTTGTAAAACAACATCAGAATGTCCTAAAACTTTGCAGGGGACACCTTGAGAAGGTGTTCTCTCCATCTGAGGTGGAATTGGTCTGTGGAAGCTAGGACTTTTATTTTTATGATTTTCTGAATGTATGAACAAAATAGGTAATATATTAGTTTTGGGGGGCTTTTATTTTGGAAAACAACATCAGAATGTCCTGAAACTTTGCAGGGGACACCTTGAGAAGGTGTACTCTCCATCTGAGGTGGAACTGGTCTGTGGAAGCTAGGACTTTTATTTTTCTGATTTTCTGAATGTGTGAAAAAAATAGGTAATATATGAGTTTTGGGGGGCTTTTATTTTGGAAAGCAACATCAGAATGTCCTGAAACTTTGCAAGGGACACCTTGAGAAGGTGTACTCTCCATCTGAGAAGGAATTGGCGTGTGGAAGCTAGGACTTTTATTTTTATGATTTTCTGAATGTATGGACAAAACAGGTGATATATGAGATTTGGAGGGCTCTTATTTTGTAAACCAACATCAAAATGTCCTGAAACTTTGCAGGGGACACCTTGAGAAGGTGTCCTCTCCATATGAGGTGGAATTGGTCTGTGGAAGCTAGGACTTTTATTTTTATGATTTTTTGAATGTATGGACAAAACAGGTAATATATGAGTTTTGGGAGGCTTTTATTTTGTAAAACAACATCAGAATGTCCTAAAACTTTGCAGGGGACACCTTGAGAAGGTGTACTCTCCATCTGAGGTGGAATTGGTCTGTGGAAGCTAGGACTTTTATTTTTATGATTTTCTGAATGTATGAACAAAATAGGTAATATATTAGTTTTGGGGGGCTTTTATTTTGGAAAACAACATCAGAATGTCCTGAAACTTTGCAGGGGACACCTTGAGAAGGTGTACTCTCCATCTGAGGTGGAATTGGTCTGTGGAAGCTAAGACTTTTATTTGTATGATTTTCTGAATGTATGGAGACAACAGGCATTATACATGAGTTTTGGGGGGCTTTTATTTTGGAAAGCAACATCAGAATGTCCTGAAACTTTGCAAGGGACACCTTGAGAAGGTGTACTCTCCATCTGAGAAGGAATTGGCCTGTGGAAGCTAGGACTTTTATTTTTATGATTTTCTGAATGTATGGACAAAACAGGTGATATATGAGATTTGGAGGGCTCTTATTTTGTAAACCAACATCAAAATGTCCTGAAACTTTGCAGGGGACACCTTGAGAAGGTGTCCTCTCCATATGAGGTGGAATTGGTCTGTGGAAGCTAGGACTTTTATTTTTATGATTTTTTGAATGTATGGACAAAACAGGTAATATATGAGTTTTGGGAGGCTTTTATTTTGTAAAACAACATCAGAATGTCCTAAAACTTTGCAGGGGACACCTTGAGAAGGTGTTCTCTCCATCTGAGGTGGAATTGGTCTGTGGAAGCTAGGACTTTTATTTTTATGATTTTCTGAATGTATGAACAAAATGGGCTATATGCACGCATAAGTTCCGCATTTGACGTAAGGATGCTCGTCCATTTCCGGTTGTGTAGATTAAAGCGGAGGAAAACCGGAGAAAACGGGATTATGGCAGAGTCTTCAATATTTACTGTCCTCCCGTCTTTGAAACGAAACGTACATACGTTTAGATGTAATTTTATATATAGTTATGTTTATTTAATATAATTTTTAAAGTCCCCGTGAACCGAAAGTTGCAAACGATTTTTCTCCAGTGCTGTGACGTATTTCCAAGTGAAACGGAATATTGAACAGAGGGCAGGGTTTTACTCTAGCGCTCCTCCTCTCTATCTCTCGCTCATAGCAAACTAACGGTTTGAGGGGAGTGGTTAAGCGTTTCCCCACCCAAACTGTGAAACCTACGTCATCAGAAAAAGAAACCGTTCCAGACCGGAAGTAACTTTTCAGATTTTGATTAAAGATTACTAAGGTAAAACATTTTTTTAATATATATTCACTTGCACGGATTAATTGTTCACCACAAGACTAGTAATATGCGCTAACAAAGTAAATAGGTTCAATTTTGATTTCACGGGGACTTTAAAAGAAGCATAAACACAACGAGGGGTGTCTGTTTTATCTGTTTTTGTGACTAACGTTTCATTAGTATAACCATGGAGTATAAAATTCAATATAAATTCTCGGTATTGCATTGGACTCTATGATCGGCGGAAGTTATCGAGCATCCTTAATCCTTCACCGGAAATAACGCCGTGCATAGAGCCCATAGGTAATATATTAGTTTTGGGGGGCTTTTATTTTGGAAAACAACATCAGAATGTCCTGAAACTTTGCAGGGGACACCTTGAGAAGGTGTACTCTCCATCTGAGGTGGAATTGGTCTGTGGAAGCTAAGACTTTTATTTTTATGATTTTCTGAATGCATGGACAAAACCGGTAATATATGAAATTTGGGGGGCTCTTATTTTGTAAAACAACATCAGAATGTCCTGAAACTTTGCAGGGGACACCTTGAGAAGGTGTCCTCTCCATATGAGGTGGAATTGGTCTGTGGAAGCTAGGACTTTTATTTTTATGATTTTTTGAATGTATGGACAAAACAGGTAATATATGAGTTTTGGGAGGCTTTTATTTTGTAAAACAACATCAGAATGTCCTAAAACTTTGCAGGGGACACCTTGAGAAGGTGTACTCTCCATCTGAGGTGGAATTGGTCTGTGGAATCTAAGACTTTTATTTTTATGATTTTCTGAATGCATGGACAAAACCGGTAATATATGAAATTTGGGGGGCTCTTATTTTGTAAAACAACATCAGAATGTCCTGAAACTTTGCAGGGGACACCTTGAGAAGGTGTACTCTCCATCTGAGGTGGAATTGGTCTGTGGAAGCTAGGACTTTTATTTTTATGATTTTCTGAATGTATGAACAAAATAGGTAATATATTAGTTTTGGGGGGCTTTTATTTTGGAAAACAACATCAGAATGTCCTGAAACTTTGCAGGGGACACCTTGAGAAGGTATCCTCTCCATCTGAGGTGGAATTGGTCTGTGGAAGCTAGGACTTTTATTTTTATGATTTTCTGAATGCGTGGACAAAACAGGAAATATATAAGATTTGGAGGGCTCTTATTTCGTAAAACAACATCAGAATGTCCTGAAACTTTGCAGGGGACACCTTGAGAAGGTGTACTCTCCATCTGAGAAGGAATTGGTCTGTGGAAGCTAGGACTTTTATTTTTATGATTTTTTGAATGTATGGACAAAACGGGGGGCTCTTATTCTGTAAAATAACATCAGAATGTTATAGATAGATAGAATATAGTTATATAGTTATAGGCAGAATATATAGATAGACAGACAGACAGACGGACAGACAGATAGACAGACGGACGGACGGAATAAATTAAATAGCCTTCGCTCGCTGGAAGATCAATGTTTTCAGTTTCAGAAAGGTTGACGGTCTTACCGTAATAGCTAGTGTATAAGCGCATAGAGACATATAGGGGCGGCTAGTTTGACTGCTCATTTCGAACTGGAGGCTGGCTTGACTGCAGTGCCATTTTATATAAGAAATGTTTTCTTATCTATCGCGGGTTACCATATTACTTAAATAAATGCACATACATGCATTTAGTCTGGCATATCAGGTTATCTCACTGTTTATACATACTTTAATCAGTCTAACACTGTGTTCACATTAAATGCTCCAGGGAAAAATTAGCGCGCTCAAAATAGCCAGTGCTTCAATGATAATGGCTAAAGCTAGCCAAACAAGCCAGACAAACCAACCAACTAGCCTCGACAATATAAAGATATTACTTTAGAAAGGTAACGTTAAAGTAGACTCACTGTATTCCGGACACTAAGTTAGACCGTTTACCGCAATTTCTATAAATAAACACTTCACGGCCATTGCATCAATACGTGTCATCTTTGCCTCACCCTCTTCCGACCAACCCAGCTTATAACTTAGTTGTTAAAATATATGTCTTATATATTAGAAATGACATGTAGAGTACTCTACCTTAGTTTATTTCCCTCGCTCGATGAAAAGTGAAGTTCTCTTTGAAGATCGCTCGGTGTGTGGTGGATCCGGTATGGTGGACTCTTCTTGTGATGATGTGATGACGTTCGAAGCACAAACAACCCACGTGCTGGGTCAACGGTGTATGTTGGGTAGATGGGTTATTTTTTCCAACTCATGTGTTGAGTCAAAATCCATATAAATAACCCATAATGGGTCAAACATTTCATAACCCAGCGGTTGGGTTGATTAAATAACCCAGCATTTTTTAGAGTGTAGTAGCCTATGTTATGTCATATGTATGACATTGACCCAGACATTGACACTGTATGTTTGTGATTGTGGTTTTCAGAGGGATCAAAATGAGGTACTCTCTAAACCAATCTCCTCCCACCTCTCCATTGATACTGACTGTCATTTTGAGGTTTCTGGGTAATGGCTCTCACAACAATTTGACATGAGCATAAGCAACATAATTTGCTGTTTGCAAGCATAACATTGTGTTTGTCTTATTAGGACTATAACAAAAGAAACAACGTCTAAGCAGCCCACTACGGTACAACACAAATATCAAATGAATAAGTGCAAATGAGGATTACATACAAGACCACATTACTGACTGGAACCCATTTCTGTTATGTTTTGCAGATCATGAAAAACAAGAACTTCTCTGTAAAATCTTCAAAGACAAATAAGCCAGGTTCAGGAAATAGAAAGAACCCTCAGTAAGTGTATCCTCAAAGTTTTTATTATTATAAAATAATAATAAAACATTTATTGTATATCATGAAATGCTATGAACCCGAATGATTTTTGGTCTTTGTGGTAGTGTCAACAGAAAAGCACCACACACTGTAGTTGATGATGTTGCTATCCCTGAAGACCTTGGGGATTTCTCACTTGCTAAGACAATCAGCATAATTGAGAACAGGGTTAGTGATGATCTCACTGAGGAACACTTGGAGGATGACATCATGCCCAGTGCTGGAGATGAGATGGGCGCAGGTTGGTTAAAAATACCAAATATGTTTAAATACTGAATTTCTTGTGCTTGTTATACTTTTTGCATTTTGACTTGTGCATTCATTTCATTTTTACAGAAGCTCAGATCAGATTTTTGAAGGCTAAACTTCGAGTAATGCAGGAAGAATTAAACAGACTCTCATATGAATCCAACAAGAAGGTAAGCACTTTGAGATGTGTTCAAGGTTGGTTAATCTATTCAGTCAGGTAAACTTACTCTGGCTCAAAATCCCTTTTGTGAAGGATGATGAAAACAGCACTTTATGCAGCAAACTGAAGGACGTGGAGGAGGAAAGGGCAAGATTGCAGAGGACTACAAATGTCCAACAGACTCAGGTTGAGAAGCAAAGAGTTTTAGCTGAAGAATCCAGTCGGAAGTGTGAAGGTCTGCAACAGCAAGTGGTAGCACTGCAAAAGGTACTTGAATTGTTGGGAAAATATTATTCAAAATTCTACGGAAACAATCCACAATCTACGGAAATTTATTGAAGTTACGATTCTGACAGAACAAGTGTTTCTGACGGAAATGTTTTTTTTTTTTTTTTTAACCTCGACTCAATTCCTAAAGGAAAGTATAACATATTTGTCTTAATTCCAGTTAATCAAAGCTGTGCCAGGATCCAGAGCCGTGGAATCCTTGGCATGGGCTCTTTAACCTGATTAGTCCTCTGTGTAAAGTGAGACTGTGCCACAGCTGCTCAGAGTGCAGAGCACACTGCACTTGAACTTCTGGGACAGATATCTTTGGAACTCACCCTTTCCCTTATGATAGGGTCATGGAAACTTAATGATGATAGAGAATAACAGTATAACCAGAGAGAAATTAAAATCAGAATGGGCCATATTGCTTAAAAAAAACACCCATTCACTGTCATCTTACTTTAGACTTATTGCATGTACATGTTTGGGTAGGTTAGGGTTAAATGTCCCCCCTGGAGGCGTGGGTTCGAATCCCACTTCTGACAAACCTAACCTTTGAAGTGGGTGGTGATTGGTGATGAAGCGCAGTGGATAAGACACATGCCTTTGGTGTGAGAGATCCAGGTTTGAATCCACCATGAGACACTAATTTGTCCCTGAGCAAGACACTTAACCCCTAGTTGCTCCAGAGGCGTGCGACCTCTGACATATATAGCAATTGTAAGTAGCTTTGGATAAAAGGGTCATCTAAAATAAATAAATGTAAAAGCTTTCCTTAGGCCTTACAAAGTCATTTACTCACCTTCATGTGATTCCAAATCTGTAAGACTTTCATTCATCTTCGAAACCCAAATGAAGATATTTTTTACGAAAATCTGAAAGCTTTCTATCCCTGCATTGACAGCTACGCAACTACCACTTTAATGCTCCAAAAAGTTCATAAAGAGATTGTAAAACTAACACCAAAATTAGCAGTTTGGTCCAAATTTTCTGAAGAGGACGGAATTTTTGGGTGAACCAACCCTTTAATATGCATATAATTGGGACATCTGCAAACAAAATCTGCACAGTATGTTTTCTTCAGTTATACGTAAATGCCTGTGTCTGTCCAATCTAGGAGTTGGAAAGCATGAAGAGATCCCATAAGCAGGCAGCCAATACACACAGTGCAACAGAGGTGCGGTTGAATAGAGCTCTAGAGGAGGTTGAGAAGACTAAAACTCAGCTCAACAAACTCAAACAGAGCAGTAAGGTAATGAACTCGTATAAACCAGCATGAAATAAAACAAAGTGTTGTCTATTGCAGTTGAACTGGCAGCACATCTACTACAGAAGTATTTCAAATTTAGAAGGCATTTTTATTCATTTTACTTCTTCGCTTGTGCTCTCTCTCTTTTTTTTTTTTTACCATAACGAAGGATTCAACCAGTCAGGAGCACCAGAAGATTGAAACCTTACAAGCCGAGAACAGAAAGCTGGAGAGGCAAAATGCTGAGCTCATCATTGGTTTTAAAAAGCAACTTAAGCTAATAGATATTTTAAAAAGACAGAAGGTAAGAAATCGGTATCTTTGCAACTGAAACTGTCATTTCCAAATACAGTAATATCATATCACACTAACTAACTTTGTTTCTGCTGTATTTTTGAAAGATGCATTTTGAAGCGGCCAAGCTGTTGTCCTTCACTGAAGAGGAGTTCATGAAAGCTTTGGATTGGGGAAAGGATGGAATCTCGTAGGTTTCTATTTTGTCCTTTGTAAATAGATGACTGCAAAGAGTTTGCATTTCAAAAGCTTATTCATTGTTTAACAATCTTCAAATTTCAATAAATAATAATATGCTGAATTTCATGACAGTCAGTGTTTATCAACCCTGCCACAATAATTCAATTATTTACATCATTGCCATCTAGTGGTGAACACTGAAATCACAACATCTATCCAAATTTGACTTTTCATTTGAACTTTTAATCAATTGTTGTTGTTATTTGTATGTATACACTGATCAAACATATTGTATTCCTGCTAGTAAATAACTGCTTTATTCAGGGTATGGGCCAAACCCACTCTTCTTCATTAGTAGTCCACTGAAGGAAGTGTGACCATTCTGGTGAACTCCTCATAATGAACATGTCCATCACGTCCAACATTAGCCTCTTTAAAAAGCTGATCCACTGAAAAACAATGCACAGTTACAACACATTCATTCTGTCTAATAGTGCTAATATACTGGGATCTGACTGGAATTTTAGAAAATCGAAAAAAATAAAATGTATTTCTAAATTCCTCAAACAAGATACACCTCTAAAAATGTTTCATAATTTAATGTAATTTTAAATCAATCCAGACCCTGACATAAAAAAATAAAATAAAAAAACTTGTTTTGATTAGCTCTGATCTTTGAATAAATCAACAAACCCAACCAGAAGGATCCAAGATGATTTATACCTTCTTTTTCAGTGAGCTTTTCTCCCAAGCCAGTGAGTTTAGCCCTTAACTCAGATGCCAGAATGTAGCCCTTCTTGTGTTTGTCTGTCATGCGCATAGCCTCCAGAATTTCAGTCTTAGGATCCTCCTGTTGCATCTGTCTGTGCATCATGGTTAGAAATGTAGAAAAGTCCAGCTCACCTGTCTTATCTGTGGTGAAGATATAGCAGATACTAACATTAAAGGAAGCAAACACAATTAAATATTGGATATTTTACTTCAACTTTTGTCTGATTCCAGTACTCAACATGCAGCTCTTATACTCGCTATAAAAATCAAATATGGCATAACTAAATATCTGATTGTTAATTAAAGTTGTGTTTGTGTGTGTGTGTTGTCATTAGCACTACATTTGACATTAGCCACAGGTAGCACAAGGAAGCTGAAAGTAGACAAGACATAGTCACAATTCAATGGTTAATCATGAGGTTTAACAAAAAGTTACCTATTTTGTGGACTTGCAGATGTCTATCCACTTCATTAAATGTGGGACTTGTACCCAAACAGCGCATGACAGTAATAAGGTCTTTGGCTTCAATTTTCCCCTTTCGCTTCTTGTCATAAAGCGAGAAACATTCTTTGAACTCTACATGAGAACATACCAAATAACAGTGAAAAACAATTCCACATTTTCTCATTGCTCATAAATGTGCTGTACACGTTTGTTTGTTTTTCAAAAAATAACAATTTAGTTTATTTTGCTATATTCATGAAGTTACATTACACACTTTCTTTCTGTGTAACACAGCTTACCATCAATCTGAGTTTGTGTTAAGAATTTTGCCTGTAAAGGTTTAAAAAAAGATGTTGAAAAAACAGCAATTGAATGAAAATAACATTAAAGAGAATAACATCATCAAACTCACCATGTTTCGTCTGTTCAGGGAAAGAGTCACTCCCTCTGGATTACCTGTAGGAACTAAAGTCCACTGCAGTTTTGACGTAACTGATAGCCTCGTTGTCATAGGAACATTGATATAGGATCCAACTATCATGTTATATTGTCTGTTACAGTAGGTGGAGCTCATGATCACACTCACTGAATCACTAAAACGTATATTTAGGGAGAACACCTTTTATTTGGATAAAACACTGACATAAAGTAAAACATTTTACAGTAAGCCACAATGATGAAATGTTTTTATTTCAATATAGCAAAATGACAAACATAGCACTGTATAGTTTACAAGGAATAACACTGGAACTTAAGGGGTCATGAACTGTATTTTTTTTTAATTGTATAGTGTTCTCTGAGATACAAATATAATGTTATCAAGATTTTTTCAACATAAAAATACATCCTAGTTTAGAGGTAATAGGCAGTTTAAAAGTTATTTCTTGTCCTGTTTTTTTACCCTGTCTTTCGATTACTCAGTTTTGAGGTGTGCCACATTCATGACTTGGTAGCAAAGGCCCAAGTATGATTGGGTAACAGTTTAACATATTAAAATACTTTTGAACGTGCCCGCCATTACACTGTGGAATTGTTTTGAAAATTTCTTGTTAAAAATATCTTGTTACATAGTTGAAACATTTGCCAACAATGTTGAACATTTATGTGCATTATATGCTTTATAAGACTTGGTTGTATGAAGTTCAAAGTTTAAGTACTTCGAGTTACCACAGTTGACAAATGATAACTTTTTCTGTGTATCGCATTAATGAAATTATGAACGAATGTACCATTGTTTGTTCCACTGTTGTTCTTATAGGCTATTCATCATTCATCCTTTTCAATAAAATGAAAAATGTATACTAAAATGAAATGTGTTGTAATGTCTTTCTGATGACGTCGCTCACTGAAGCTTTTATTCAGGATTAAAGTGAATGACTTAGATCACAACAACAACAAAATCAGCATTCTCTACGTTCTCTTCAAATATACAGGAATCACCCACATTAATCCTTAGAGGCTATCAGTTTGCTGCAGGAGTAACCCAGTGTTTGCGTCTCTCTCGTATTTATGATGATTATCTTCTGCAGAGGTGGTCTTTCATCGCATTATGACATAATACTGTGACAAAATCTGAAACAAGTCATTTTGACAACTTGGTTTTAATAAAAACTGTTTTTGAACTAAAGAGGAAGTTTTGAGTTCTGAAACTTACAGGATATTTTTTAATACAACCTCTAATATGTCAAAATACTGATTTCTCAATTCATGACCCCAAAATATTTAAAGTATTTTTATTGAAGAAACATCAGTGAAATGTAGTTCGGGATTTGCTGCTAGTATTTAACTCCCTTTGATGTGTAAGGTATAAAAGGACCAAGGCTCAGGGACATAGATGATACCGGGATACTTTTTGCGCAAAACCTCATCATTCCACAGATACGCGACCCAAACCAGAACTAATCCCAGAGTAATGATGAAGTTATAGAAGAGGAAACGGCCATTGCTGTCTAGCATGAAGCCCATCCGCCTCTGGCGCATAACAGTGGCAACCATGGCAAAAAAGATGAAGACATAGAGAACAAAGATCTGCCCCTCAGTAATCAGATACCTGAAGAAATAGACCACATTTACGTTTGAACACTAACACTAACATGCTGATGTATTGTTAAAAAAAATTCTCTTGTTGAATGTTCTCCTTCACTTGGAAATGTGTTACATTACAGATAGCGGCTTGAGAGTGTTGCTTCAACTTGATTCTACATCTCAAAAAATACTTAAAATTGATTTGAATGATTTACTTACCAATAGTACACTGCACTAGGGCCAAGTAGCAGCCAACCTGAGTAAGGCATCTTCTCATCTTTAGCTTGTGTAAAGCAGCCAGTGAAATACAAGAAGAGGATGATGAAGAACGGGACATACCTATGATGATAACGGTGGAGGGGATGTTTTAAACTCTATACTGTATGTAAACTTGCAGATTACAAATTACAGATCGAATGGAAAATATACTTACCACATGCAATGCCCTAAGTGCTCATCATAGTAATACAAAAGCTCAAAGGAATCAATCTGAAAACCACATAAAGCATGAATTACCATTACCATCAAAACAAACCCGCCATTTGTTTGATCTGTAAATCGAACCACAGTACCAGTGAGGTAGGCTTCAGATCCTTGATAATGGGATTTTCTCTGACAGAAAGATGAAGCTGGTATCCACTGAGGATGAGACGATGGTTAATGGAGTCTCCCACTAGGTGTATGCTGGCTCCCATAACAAAGGTGATGATACTGAGATAAACAGCCGAGCGAGGAAGGGCCGTGGGACTCCGCTCGATCAGCTAAAAAAAGGTTACAGACAGATCAAACCAACACTTTACTTTTACTGATTCATCTCAAAACATAAGGGTTAGAAATGGGGAACACCCTATACACATCCTTTTGATTTTCCTTTAAATCGTAAAAGAAATTGTGTACCTTCAGTAATAAGAATGGTGTAATGACATTATATGCCATGTGAAAGTAATCTCCAACACTTGGCTTATTTAGAGGAAACCATTCTAGAGGCATTACGATCTGGATAAAGAACATACAAAAGTGTTATTGATATTAAAGAAGAGAAAGGACATCTTAATGCACAGATAACACATTGTTTTAACTTGTAGTACCATAGCAATTGGCCTCCCAAAGTCTAGTATCCAGTTCTGCACAGTGAAACAGAGCCACAGATCTGTGTGAAACTGGGACTGTGCTGCTGATGCTGAAGAAACTGTTTTCTCAGTCCCAGCCCTGCTTTTAAAACATAGTACAGCGTTTTAGTACATATACAGTCTGTACATTAGGAAAATGTCATTTTAATCGCATGCCATGCTTTTGAGCTGCCAGACAAAATACAATTTTGACGATTATAAAGCTTAAAAGGAACAAAAAAATTGCACAATTAAATGGTGATATTACACAACATTTCAGCATCTGACCTCAAATATGCCGGAGCCAAAGCTGCAGCCTGTGGTCTTCTCCGCATGGTCAATCGATTTTTGTTTTTATAGCAATGCCAAGGTTACTTTGTATTCTTTGCAACTTTAGCTACTATGGTTTTGAAGTCAAGTGTTAATTCATTCAATCACATTAATTCCAGGTCACACATCGAAGCTGTAAAAGTCTAAACCCATCTTTACTTTCGTTATACGCCAGTAACTGTATCTACCTCAGCTTCAGTTCAACGATACAGTCAAATATATCCTTATTTTTTAAGATGTTGATATTTGTGTTTGTTTGAATCACGTGAGGTTCTTCTTCAGTCATTCTTCTTCTTCTTCTTCTTTGAGGTTATTGGCGGTTCGCATTCTTAAAAAGAGCATTACCGCCATCTACTGCAGGAATAGATCAGAGACACACTTATACTACGCAAGACACAAAATCCAGTTATATACTTTACCACCAATTCCTAATTGTTGTAATTTAATTAATAACCCTTCTTTCCAAATCATATCAAATGCCTTCTCAACATCAAAGAATACTGCTATTACCACCTCCCTATATTAGTCTGTGCTTTCCTAATATCTGATTCCAAACTTATTAATGAATCCATTGTACTTCGGCCCTTACGAAACCCACTCTGATACTGGGAAAAAAGGTCATTACTTTCTAAATAATAAGTCATTCTATCTGTAATTATTCTTTCCATTATTTTACACAACTGCGATGTTAGTGCGATTGGTCTATAACTAGATGGGTCAGATGGGTTTTTCCCTGGCTTTAAAATAGGCACTATAATTGCTTGTTTCCACACCGATGGAAGCCGACCAATTTCCCAAATTTTATTAAAAAATTTAAGTACTATTTTTAATGTTTCATCTATATAGCACGCTTACTGCCATCTGCCGGACTTTTATTAGTATTGTCTGTCCAGCCTGCAAGATACTCCGGCTTTTTTATTGACAGAGTAGTATAATATTCCGAATTCAGCCCTCAGCAATGCCAACACGCATTTCTTAAGTGAAAATAATTAGTATTAAAAGAAATTAAGGCTGTTCACGACTGTCATCAGTAACTGAAGCGTACAATCCATGCGTACAATGTTTTTTGACTGGGTAGGTTTTTTATTCTTTTAATTCTCAATTTTCCACAGTTATTTATTGTTTTAAATTATATATAGAATTATTTAAAAAAAAAAAAAAGGATTAGTAAACATATTTATAATACTGCTTCGTCAAAGTGATGGCGTTGTCATTAAGGAACTTTTATTTTGAAGGCACAATACAATAATAGTGATTGTGATTGTATGTAGCCATCTTAGAGCTCTGTCTCTCTCTCTCTCCACGGCCTACCTAATTTAGGCGTATCTCTCTTCACATCGGGCAGTGTAAAGTTCACCGTGTAGGATTAAAGACCTTGTCATCAGCAGCAAAGCGAGGTATTACTAGAAATTGAGCGTTATTCTCATGTGACCACGTTATCTCTTGAGAAAGTTACATGAGTGTTTACGCGTAACGTTACAAGGGCTGTGTATTGAGGTATAAATGTTAGCTCCTGTAGCTGTCATAATGAGAGACATGTCTGTCAGTGCTTCATATAACGCTTGTAAACACCCCGGATCAAACGACAGTTGTATAACTCACTTACCGTAAGGTTGTCAGTTTTAATCTGTTAGTGTTTAGAAGGTAGATTAGTTGCTGGGACTGTTGAATTTATTACACGGGGGTTGTTTTAAGGTGCAAATGATAACAGGGTGTTTTGGCTAGCTGATGAGTGCTACCGCTAACACACTGCTATTCAATATAGTTTCATAATTCGTGATCTGCCCTGTTGATCATGTCCTGAGTGGATTAGAGGCTAATCCTCAGAGTTACAGTATTGGGGTGAAGTACAGACTAAACGTACTCCGAATTGCATCCTTCACAGAAATGTGTGTGTGAAAGAACAGTTATGAAAGTATTTGGAGCTGTCTTTTCAACTAAAATTTGACAGGTCGAGTGAGCTATATGATGCGTTATGTTATGATTATGAGCATGCTTATGATGTGCTGATAATTGTTAGTAGGCTATGACAGCCGTGTGACTGTTTTATATATATATTATATTTATTTGTTCTCACTCGCGAATCGAAACGTAGAGGTGTGCCTTTTGCTTGCAGCGATGAGAGGTTGTGAAATTCAGAAGAAAGCGTGTTATTTGATTCCAGGATCGCTCTAATCGGGTTTCTCTCTTAGTTGAGTAGGAACGAAATGGAAAACACGGAGTTTACTTTCGGAATGGGATTGCAGATCGCTTTGAGGCGAGGAGTGGCTTTGGTTCCAGACCGGCTTTTGGTTTGTGTTAGTCATTCCAATTAGTTAATAATTGATCGTTTTAGAACAATTTACCTCGTTGCAACGAACACACAACTTTTATAAAAACAATAATCATGTTTGCAGTTGTGTTGGTATTCTTAAAACGGCATGGAGCGAAAATTCATCCCATCTAATTTTCTAAGTGCATGTTATAGATCTTATTTGTGAATGATTCATCCATGTCGATGTCTCTTTTCTTTTTTTTCTCTTTTACGGTCTATGTTTTTTTCCACCTCGTGATTTTTAATCGTTTTTAATGAAGAAAAATGTCCTTTTGGTGGACTTCTCTCTGGTGACGCATGCCGGATTTCTCCAATCATTTTAGTCCGCTTAAACCCCGCCCCTGCAAGCTTGTGTTCAGTTTTTCCCACTTTCGATTGCAACATCCACTTCTCAAAATCCAACTAACAATTAATGCATAGAACAAAGTCCCCACTTTACCATTACAACCAAATCCATAACATTTACAATATAGAAGAAAATATCTGTTACTTCTCTGCAGTGTTCTTAAAATCAAAATGTGTATGATTACAACTAGACGTTACCGTAATAGGCTTAATCTGTTTCAGGGTGGAAACCAGCCTACGCATCTTCAGGTTTTTTTTTTTTTTTTTTTGGTAATTAGGTTAATTTTAGATTGTAAGAAGTAGTTCTGTGTTGAGAGTCTAACCCAACAGTACTTTTAGTAGGGAGGTTAAGCCCAAAAAATAGGCCTTTGACTTCAAGTGATGATGCAAAGGTTTCCTTTGGTAGGGAAGTAGGGTCATACAAATAAATTTATCCTAAGACACAAGTGAGATCACACTTTGTATCAGAAATAAACATATTTTTTTGAAAAATTGCCATTTGCCGTCAATGCGCCAAAATACTCTAGAGCCCATATCTTTGCTTCTGTTATTGCTATAATGACAAATTTGGTGTCAAAGTGTTCATTTGTTGGGTCAAGGAATCGAATAAAATTGGTTTAAAGTAAAAAAAAAATAATAATAATTTACCCATACCATGACAATTGGGGGTAAATATGCACATTTCACATAAAAATTGTGACTTTACTTATCTATTCGTTCAAAAACTTTAATTTTGTACTTAAAGGTGTAGTTCACTTTTGAAAAAAAAAACTTTTGCTGATAATTTACTCACCCTCATGTGATCCAAAGATGTCTTTCTTTCTTCAGTCGAAAAGAAATTAAGGTTTTTGATGAAAACATTCCAGCATTTTTCTCCATATAATGCACTTCAGTGGGAACCAAACGGTTCATTGTCCAAAAGACAGTTTCAGTGCAAACTGTTCAAAGGGCTTTAAAAGCCAAAAATTATCCTTCTAATTTGTATTCATTTAAAACACACTTGTGCTTGTGACGTAAGCTCTAGACCAGGGGTGCCCAACCCTGCTCCACTGTCCTGCACAGTTCATCTCCAACCCTAATTAAACACACCTGCCTTTAATTTCCAAGTGACCCTGAAGACCTTAATTGGTTGCTTCAGGTGTGTTTGATTAGTGTTGGAGATAAACTGTGAAGGACAGTCGATTGGCAGGAAACATGAAACAGGATTATGCATTAATTGTGACAGGAGAGAAACGGTAGAACATATGAAGAGTTCAGATGCAAAAGCCTCTAAGTGCCATTTGAAATTTTCTTCTAAAATGATCATTTTTATCAAGCTTGTATATTTAAGTTCAGTAATTTCACTTAAATGGCAATTAATAGGTAATCTTCATTGCCATTTAAGTGAAATTACTGAACTTAAATATACAAGCTTGATAAAAATGATCATTTTAGAAGAAAATTTCAAATGGCACTTAGAGGCTTTTGCATCTGAACTCTTCATATACTCATAGAATGCGAAGCATACAGAACAGAACGAATCGTATTGTTAGAACAAGTTAAAGAATTAGGTTATACACATTTATCCGTAGAGGGTTTATTTTCCTTTTCTGCATCAAAACCATCAGCATGGCCAGCTATCATAAGATACCTTAAAAAAACTGACTTATTTAATCAAATTTAAGATAATTTAATCTTTCTTTTTGTTTTTTGTATATATATATATAGAAATCCGCATTGAAGCTCCACACCCCAAACAGTTGGTGGCGGTAATGCACCAAATTGGTATGCCAACCGCCAATAAAAGAAGAAAGAAAGAAGGTTGGGCACCCCTGCTCTAGACAGTTTATGTGCAAGCTTTTTTATTGCTTGACCACAGGCCAAAAGTCGGTCTGCCCTCGTAGAGGGCACCCCAGCCCGAATTGGAGGCATCTGTTGAAAACACTTTCAGTTTTGAGATTACCCCAGGTTTACACCTGTCTGATATCAGTCGACTGCCTTCCAGGGCTCCAGAGCTGTGATACATTTCTGAGTTACCTTGAGACGTAAATGATATGATTCCCATGCTTGATGTGGGACCCGCGTCTTCAGCCAGTGCTGTAAAGGGTGCATGTGTGAAGAAGCAGACATAAACAAAGAAATTATTAAATTGTGATTGGACTGTGTGTTTGGCATGCACTTTTTAACAAAAAATTGCATATGTCACCTCTAATTGTCATTGTATTTTGGTCTTGGAACCTATTTTATTGGCTTCCTTGACCACAAAAATGTACATGTTGATACCAAATTTGTCATTATAGGTATAGCAGAAGCAAAGATATGGGCCTCAAGTATGGTCGGCGGCCATTTAAAAAAAAAAGTGCATATATAAGATACAAAATGTGATCTCACTTGTGTCTTAGGATAAATTTATTTCTATGTACTTCCATACCAAAAAGGGGACCTTTGCATCATGACTTGAATTTAAAAGTCACTTAACCTCCCTACTATTTTAGACTAAATCGAATGCTTTTCGCTTTCTGAATCTGCATCCTATGTATAGTAGGGGTTTCTTCCTCTTAATTCTCATGACACATTTAGAGGAAGCTTGTACAGAATTGAAAAAAAAAAACACTTCCTGAAATAAGATGAATCTAAACTTTAACCTATTTTCGGGCTTGAAACTTTTAGGCAGCATTTTACGAAAAAAACACAACTTGCACAGGTAAGAGCAAATGAAATATTTAAGTGATCTGAACTGTTATTCTTGTATCAGTTGTTCACTGTCACTGTTATCCAGCTATCATATCTGCCAGGCCAGCAGATGATCTGACTCTTGATCTGGCAGATGTAGAGCACACTGGTTTACAGGACAAAGGTTACAGCCCACTGATAAGTACAGAACATTGGACATTGAAAGACGCCTTCCATTGGTTTACATCAGGTCATTTTCAGTTTGATTTTAATGTTTAATTCAAGTTAGAGCTACACAATTCATTGAACCCTTGAACAAAGGGGATTTAGGACAATGACATGATTCTTTCTCCATTTTACAACGGAGCCATTGTCTTTTATGATCATACAATTTATGAATTAAAAATGTGTTTCTTACTTTCCAGCTTTTATATTAGAAATGGTTGTTCAGAAAGTACATTATTGTTCATTATTTTGGGCTGCTATTACTAAGATATTCTAACTTATTGTTTTACAGTTGCAGTTGCCATTTTATTTGTTTTAAATTCTAAGTTTCGTACGACTGGTGACATAACCTGGACTTTGGTCTGTTTCTGGTTTAGGTGTAACAGTGAAATGACACGACATCAGGGTCGTATCCTGGTTGATATTATTTTTCTGACTGTTAAAGCACAAACATTTTATGACGTCTAGTTGCGGGACTCCTATACTGCTTAATTTTAATTAAAAAAAGAAACATAAATCATATCCAGGCTTTGCAGAAGGTTGTGGTTTGAGTGGCCTGACTGGTTTCTATAATTGCCGTCCTTTTACTTTAAGTGTTTCCACTGAGATGTTATTTGTGCATCTGTTCAGTGACTCCATATCTTTGAATTAAATTCCAAGATGTGGTTTGGGAGATGCTTACAAAAGGTGGAGGTTTGAGCTCGGGCCTCCGTGGGGATTTCACAGTCATGTGAATGACCGCTAGTAACCTCTCACGTGCCCTCTTGCTCTCTTTTTCTCCCTCCTTTTTCCTTCTCTCACTCTCTTACTCACTCATTCACCTTCTCTTCTGTCATTCTATCCATTGGCTTGTTTTCTCTCCTGCTTGTTTTTATCTAATCCTTCCGAACAGCTCTGCTTTGGAGCTATACAACCTACAAAACAGAAGTCACTCTAGTTTTTCCTCTCTTTGTTTTTCTGTCAGTCAGAAACCTGTGACACTGAAGTAAAGAGTCTATTATAGCAGAGAAGTTTCCTCTGATGGCATCCAGACTATTGGAGAGAGAAAACGTGATGTGCTGTTAGTGATGCAGAGAACAACATGGATAGACAATAACAAACCATCATTCTAGGGGTAAGTGTGGCGCTCACTCACATTAACCTGCTTCAGTGCCCATATACACACACTACATGTATCAGTGCATTTTGAGTGTTTTTATTGGATGCTGAAAAGATTTGACCTTTTCTTTCGTTCACTTTACCTTAATGTTCATGTTTAATTGTGTCATGCTAATGTTCCAGATGTTTGCATGTGTAAACCCTTTGTGTAACAGCCTAATTCATGAATTATTTAACTAATCTTATTGGTATATTAGCATAAAAATTCACCAGAATAAAATTCTTTGTGATTATTATGTTAGGGCCACTATTATAAATTTATTAAAATTTAAGAAAAAAATTAAAACATACTAAAAACTAAAATGTATAGTTTGTATGCTACAACTGAATTTAGGAATACTGTTTGATTTAGGAAAAAAGTGATCATAATAATAGAGTAAGGGTGTAATGATACCCTCATGTCATGATTCGATACAAATCGCAATACGGAACTCACAATACGAAACGATCTTGATATTTTAAACATATTATTAATATTAGTTTATTATAATCAAAATAATAATAATATTATTATTAGAACCCACAAATATACATTATATATAGTAGTTTAATCTCCCTAAACTTTAATTTTTCTCATGCAGCACTCGTACTTTCAATTCAGCTAAGACAAGCTGCGCTCACACACACAGACTCTTTCGGCGCTCGCTATGTCCCGCCTCTTCCTCTATTACTGCACTATATAAGAATAAACCATCTAAAATGATTTGAATAATCATACTATTAAAGTCCCCGTGAACCGGAAGTTGCAAACGATTTTTCTCCAGTGCTGTGACGTATTTCCAAGTGAAACGGAATATTGAACAGAGGGCAGGGTTTTACTCTAGTGCTCCTCCTCTCCATCTCTCGCTCATAGCAAACTAACGGTTTGAGGGGAGTGGTTAAGCGTTTCCCCACCCAAACTGTGAAACCTACGTCATCAGAAAAAGAAACCGTTCCATGACGGAAGTAACTTTTCAGATTTTGATTAAAGATTACCAAGGTAAAACATTTTTTAATATATATTTACTTGCACGGATTAATTGTTCACCACAAGACTAGTAATATGTGCTAACAAAGTAAATAGGTTCAATTTTGATTTCACAGGGACTTTAAAACGAACCACCGCCAGCGCATCCGTTTTAGATGATGAATGCAATACATCACAGTTCTAATCGTAAGACACATGTAAATATGATACCCTAGCCTAGACTCCATTTAAACAGTGGATTTTAATGAATAGTTGGGTATTTTATGAAAAGTTGTTTGTTTGGTCCGAAACTTTGTTTACTGCATATCTTTTTCAATATAATTTTAGGAGGGTCTGGAACACATTTTGGCCTGTCAATTAACAACATTGTCATTTAAAGAAGTTTCCTTTAGAAGTCCTTCTTTTTTCACTCTCCTTTTTTCTAGTAGTATGTTATTTTTGTGAGTCATGGTTCTTTTCTTTTTTTGCTGATAAGGTCATTTTGTATAATTGAATCAGCATTTTTTTAGCTGGATTCTTAAGGCATGGTCACATTTACTCTTGCCCAACAAAGTTTCACAGGCAAAGTAGGCAGGACCCGTGTGTGGTTGTGAACTGCCCATACAGAGGTCACTGCCAGATCAAGTAACTTGCTATTTGGTTAGTACTGCGGTTTTTGCATCACCAAACTTTAACTGATGCGAAATTCGCTTTAAATGTGAAATGTATCCTATCCACCATTCGAAGTCCATCAGGAAAATTCCTTTAGGTAAATTTTATGTCATATCAGGGTAGATGTGATCAAGCCTTTATCCAAAGCATTCGTCCCCAAATCAGATGTCCATCTCATTTCCTAAAACTCTCAAAACAACACCCATGAAAGTGAAATTTTTTTGCTCTTTCAATTCCTATTCTCAAGTAGGCAGTTCATACAGCATGCTTAGTTGGCAAAAAAACATGCACTCAATTTAATTAATATTTCTCAATTTCTCTTTTTTTGCTTTGCACAGTTTAGCTTGAGAAAAAAATCCCATGATGTGAAAGGGTGACTGTGTAGTTTTTTGTGAGATTCCCATACAGAAGTGTGACTACTTAAGGAACTGTACTGAGAGTCATTATAGATCAGCATTGCGTGCGTTTATTGTCAGTGAGAGTTGGCAGACCTCTGCTGCCCATAGTATGTGACTTGCTTGTGTGTGTGTGTGTCATTGTTGCTTTGATTCTCCTGTTCTATTCTGTAGGTGGTTTTGATTCAGTATTGAACTGTATATTCAAAGTTAGTGTTAGTTTGAGGCAGTTTTTGTGCCTGAATATTGCAAACAGAATCCTTGACACAAACTTTCATTGTCCTTTGCAGGTGCAGTGCTGGTTCGTAATGACAAGTGGCTGTGTGGAAGATGTCCACCCTTTCTACGACTGATATCACTGATGTTGGTCATGGTAAGACTCTTTTCTTTCTAGAATGTGAAAATGTTCACATACAAGGGTAGATAAAAATCAGAAGTTGCCCGAACAAAGTTGAACACTTTAGTCACACTTATAAATGTATGAATGTCATTGCGTTTGATAATACAATATCAAACCAAGTGGCATTTATTTCTAAGAAAAATAACACAAGCTTATTTTAAGCAAAACATTTTACCAAAGGTTTTGTGAACTTAACAAGTCACTCCATATATATCCACTAAAATCACCTAAAAGTAATTGTGTTGTGAATAATGCATGTTTTCATTGTTAATAAAAAAATATCAAAGCAAGTGATGCTAGACATTAGCTGCGTCCCAATTCGCATACTATCCGTCCTAAATAGTATTCGAAAATAGAATTAGTGCGTCCCAAACCGTAGTATGTTGAAATGAGTGTTTCAAAGAAGTAAGCGAATTGGGACGCAGGGATTGTGTTAGTACCACCAATTACTCACTTATGTTATTCCAAAACTGTATGACTTTCCTCTGTAGAAACTAAAAGAAGATATTTTGGCCAAAAATTTTTATTTTATTTTTTATTTGGCGTCAGTACAGTGGAAGTCAGTGGTAACCAAAACTGTTTGCCCAAACTGGGAGTTTACAGTTGAATTTATGTAGTTACATTTGTTGTTGTTGTTTTGCTTGATTTAGATGCTAACGTGTGATTTTTTTTTTTTTTTTTTTTTTTTTCTTCGTGAAAATATGTTTTTATATAGAGGTGTGGGTAACTAATATAATTCTTTTTTTTTTTCTACTCATGGGCATTTTTGCCTTTTTTTATAATTTCCAAAACTTAAATTTCAACAAAAAACATAAAACATTACAATAAAGAATAAGTGGGGGAATGCATAGGGAAAAAAATTGATCAGATCAATTTTCTATAATGCGAAATGTTTTTTTTTTTTTTATTGGTGGAACTTTTTTGGGTGATGATAATAGTAAGCGTAAATCTGAAACATACTTTTTGGATTTAAATTTAAGGTATCTTGCGTTGTGAATTTGGAATTTACCCATCATGCAAATGAAGTTTAAGACATCATCTAGCTCCTCATTGACATAAACATCACAGTGAACAATAACCTTAATGGTAGAAATATTACATGTCAAAACACAAAAAGGTTTGGTGTAAGAACAGAAAAAGAGAGACTCTTCCTCCTTTTGGCAGAAGGAAAGAAAAACGCTTAAATTAAATTTCCCTAAATATTTAATGCACGGCTAATAATGATGAATGATTTTTAAATTTTGGCTTCTTCTTACCAAAAGTCATCCGTATGCATGTGTTTGCAGCGCTATATTAAAAAAAAAATGTTGTTCTCACTAATTGGATACCTGTTTGATCATCAGACCCAGCCCTAAAAGAAATGTGTGTTGTCGGCATGTATACAGGGGACTCACTGTGCTGTGCCAGTGAAGAGGGCCCTTCAGCACTGACAGCAGAAGTGAAACAGGAGACTCTCAGTCAAACGGCCCCATACAGCACCTCACACAATGAGCTCATGGAGGCCAGCGACATCAAGATGTACCCCTCAGACGACACCCCTGCACCAGGTGAGGTTGAACAACTGGAGGATACATCTGGACTCATGTCATAGATAATATACTTCACACTGCTTATAGTGCTTAAATGATTCCTGTTAGGTAATGTGGGACATTTACTCATGAATGAACATGCTTGTCAGTGTGTGTGGATAAACTGGCTTAATTTAAGTAAAAAATAAGTTAATTTATTTTGTTATGTTGCTTTTGTAAAGCTCATACGTTAGTGTCTCTGTCCTGTGTGTGTTTGTGCAGGGGGTCAGCCAGCGAAGAGAAAGAAGGGCCCTGCTCCCAAGATGTTGGGGAATGAGGTGTGTAGCGTATGTGGAGACAAAGCATCTGGCTTTCATTACAATGTGCTGAGCTGTGAGGGCTGTAAAGGTTTCTTCAGACGCAGCGTGATCAAAGGAGCTCAGTACAACTGCAAGAACTCCGGCCGTTGCGAGATGGACATGTACATGCGCCGCAAGTGTCAGCAGTGCCGTCTGCGCAAGTGCAGGGAGGCGGGCATGCTGGAGCAATGTGAGTGATGCTCTTTAACCATCAACATCTACACTGCCATTCAAAAGTTTTGGGGTTGGTCTGATCATCAAATGTTTTTGAAAGAAGTCTCTTATGCTCATCAAAAAAGACTTCATTTATTTGATAAATGTAATAAATGTGTAACTTTATAAATGTCTTTACTGTCACTTTTGATCAATTTAATGCATCCTTCCTTGCTGAATACAAATTCATTTATTTTTATTAAACGATCAAATTTTTTCAGTGTACCTTTCTTTTTCACCCATGTCTGGCTTTTTTCATTAAGCATGGAAGTCTCAGCTGTCGTCAAATCTCGTCTTATCTATTAAAAGTTATGTCCATATGACATTATGATCATGTGCTGCTTGTTTTGCCTATCATTCTGTTAGCAGCTTTATCTCTCTGTCTCTTAAAGGTGTGCTGTCAGAAGAGCAGATCCGACTGAAGAAGATGAAAAAACAGGAAGAAGAGACGGCACGTACCTCTACAGTGGCAACACCCAGCCCTGCCCCTGAGATGCCACCTCTGGCTCCTGAACAGCAGGAGATGATCGAAAAGCTGGTGTCCATGCAAAAGCAGTGCAACAAACGCTCTTTTCTTGATCGGCCCAAAGTCACTGTAAGTGTATTTTTGTGTTTTTATGAGTCACTGAAATCGTACCAATCTGGTTTTTGTGAAGTCGGCCTAACAGACCTAGATAAGATAATACAACTGAAGCTTTGCTTTGTCACATGTTTATCAAACTCCTATTCATAGTTTTCACATGTCGTCACACCCTTATAGAAACGCCCACCTGGAGGGCAAAACAAGTCTCTGCTGCCTACCAGTTATTTTTTACAGGTTTATCAGTACAACTTACTGATGATGCATTCTATCTACAGGTAAACACCAGTGCCCAATATGAAGGCCACATGTTTAGGGCCAGATTTACTAACAGCTTGCAGCACAAACCCTCTTTTATTGTAAAAAAACTACTGTCAGGATATTGCATATGCATTTGTGGTAGTTATGTTTTAGGACTAGGTGAAACAATCCCCTGTTTAAGACCTGAGGTATCGGAGTGGTTTCCTCTCTGTGGTGGTGACAGATTTTAGGTCTGAGTGGTAACAGTGCATCCATCGGAGTGATGGATGCATTCCTCACTGTGGTGATGGTTTAGTGGGATGAGAAAGGGAGAAGCTTAAAACCCCCATTCTCTGGTGTTTCAATGATAGGCCTACGAAACCTCCAGAGGGCTCATCGGCAGCACCTGGCGTCCCAGGTGTGCCCCCCTCTGCTTTCAACCCTTACATGCCACAGGTGGTATTAGGAGCCCAATTGGAGTCTCCCCCTTTCACCTATATCCATCGGCTTGGTTTTTCTGCTGCACCTGAGATGGCTTTGATGTTTTGGCCTCGCACTCCCAGTTCCTTAAGCAGCCTGATGGTTGACTTGCCCACAAAGCCTCTGCAGAAGACTTCCACTGGGCAAACCTTGGATTTCCATCCGTGTTGCTGAGCATCAGCTGCCAGTTCGGTGTACTTAGGTCTCTTGCACTCAAATGCTTCCTCTACAGCAGCCTCCTAGGAAATGGTAGGCTCTATTATGTACCAATGGAGTGATTGGGACCAGAGATGGAGGTCTGGTCTTAGGTTCGTTGTGGCAATTTCATAAGGGAAGTAAAACCTTTGGTTCAAATCTGCCCCCAAAGATTGGTTCAAATCTGCCACTGTAGTTTCCCTTACAGATGCAAAATTTATGGGAGGGGAGAGTATTTAAAGGTCCACTGAAGTGCCTTAGAATGTGCAGTTTTGTATGATGTGTTGACATAACTTCCACTGAAACAGGAAGTTAAGGCAGGACATATTGAGTGGCTCCACCCTCATTTCAAATAACCAATAGCGTTTAGTTTACCTCAGACTGCAAGTCGTACTTGGAAGCGAATCCGAGCGCTGATAAGTTGGATTCAATAGTAGAGGTGTGAATAAATTCTAGCCATTTCATTCTTAACCAACGTACAGTTGGTAAATAGAATAAAACTTTTGAGTGGTTGAGCAACCGAACACGCATCTCCAACCCATGTTACTCCGTGACGTATCAACGGTCTAGTTGTGGGACGCTTTAGATTCTTGAGAGCATTTGATTGGACAGAAGATGTGATGAGAAGCTAAAGTCTGCGGCAATGTCTTCAAAATCTGTGATCCATTTTAGCAGAATTGTGAGACTGTATGTTTTTAATGCTTATATCTCCTTAATGCGAATTTTGTCATTGTTTTGAAACACCAGCTTATTCGTAACCTTAATGCTAACATATTTATTCTAAAAGCCAAAAAAACTTGGTTTGATTTCAGGGGCCCTTTTAAATACTAAGGTTTGCTCTCATCAATTTACCCCCCAAAAAAGGATGTCCTAAACCTGACGCTAATTTGCACTGCTGCTCTTGGTAGATTTGAGTTGGTCATTCTGGAAATGATTCGGCTTCGTCTGTGTTCTTTAATTTGCGTGACCTTCCACTCCCATCGGCGCTTTTGGAATTGCTCTAACCACTTTAAAGAAAGTGCTTAATGCATTAAGACAGTGATATGCGAGGACCAAATTCACCATACCCCTTATTAATTTAATATTATCTATAGGCAAGCAGATGAAGCCAGAAAAGACGAAAAATATATATATATTAAAGGCTTAACATGCAATTTATGGTGATGCATTCATTTTCACTAAGGTATATATTGATTTTGATCTTTTAATATCAATGTATTAAAATACTTTAGAGTACTGCCCGTGCTTCAGTTCTATCAGTGTTTTGCCTTCCAGATCTCCGTACCAGTCATGTGATTACAAACTATGCTTCGAAAGACGTGTGTTTAATCCTTCAAATATCCAATCACACATTCTGCCATCTTTCTGAATCTCTGATGCATTGATCCTAAATATTTACATCAAGATTGTTGTTTTTCAGCCATGGCCAATGAATCAGGACCCATTAAACCGAGAGGTTCGACAACAGCGGTTTGCTCATTTCACTGAGCTGGCCATCATGTCTGTGCAGGAGATTGTAGACTTTGCTAAACAGCTGCCTGGCTTCCTGGAGCTCACCCGAGAGGACCAGATCGCCTTGCTGAAGACCTCAACTATTGAGGTTAGACTGACTGACCCTTAACACACTTTGTTTTCAGTCATGTTCTGGTACTGTTCTTTGTGTGCACAGATGGATCACTCTTGTTTGGCAGACTCGTTTCTGCTGTTGTTTTGTAACGGGATGTAGTTTAGAAAAAGGACACCCGATGTAAAATTTTGTTTCTCATTAAAAAAAAACAAGCACAGCCTGTACTGCTTGTTTTACATACTTGTTAAACTTTCTATTCTCCTGTAGATCATGCTGCTAGAGACTTCCAGGCGTTATAACCCAGCAATAGACAGCATCACCTTCCTCAAAGACTTCAGTTACAATAAAGAGGATTTCGCCAAAGCAGGTACTGTTCGAAATGTTGTTGTATTGGGTGCTCGATTTAAACCTGCCTGGTGGATAAAATAAATAAGAATATTATTTGTTAACATTTGGCAACTACAACTAACTATGAAAACTACTCATAAAGCATCATAAAGCAGACCACCTGTAGTGAAAATTACCCCTATTTCCTTCCGTCACATACATGTAACCAAGCGTGGGGCAGGGATTGTGCACATTTTTAAGAAGGGATTGTGTACATTTGGCAATATAGCGAGTGAATTGTGATGTATATTACAATGTCATGATGAACTACTGTATATGCCTTTCTCCACTGACGTTCTATGATGTTCAAAGCGTTTGTAAGGATACTGATTGTTAGAAGGCAGCTGTCTGACTCTGAGATGGCGAGCAGGAACATGGTTTGTATAACATTAGCTGTTTGATAATGTAGTCAAGCCATTGGCTAATCACATCAATTGCCATTATGTGTCAGACGTTGTAGAGAGCAGTACATAAAACGCATTACCATTCTGATGCATCGATTTGCTTCCTTTTCTTTTTCTGAATCAGTTTCTGATTCAAACACATGGCTGAATTAAACCACAATGTGTAGTGTTTCCAGCCTGTTCCATTGTTGACTCCTCATATAAAAGGAGGATCAGGCTTCATTCTCTAGAGAACTCTTCTACCGGATTGCTGTGAGACCGGAGCATGGATCCGCTGTTTGGATACTTTATAGCTCCGTTTAATTTGTTTGCTTTAATCTTCCTGGGAATCTGAGCTTGTAAGGCTACACTGCTCAATAATGGATCTTTTAAAATCTTAGTTTGAGACATCACTGTTCTAACCGGACAAAGCTGAAAGCTGTTTTACCCATCCGAACCAGAATAGAAGAGTTTCTAATTCACAAGTTTTTTAATTTGAGACCTGTTTTTTTTTATTCAAGCCCTGAAATGATCTCTGTCCTCTCTGACTCGTCTGCAGGGCTGCAGGTTGAGTTCATCAACCCCATCTTTGAGTTTTCAAAAGGCATGAATGACCTCCACCTCGATGAGGCAGAGTACGCTTTGCTCATCGCTATCAACATTTTCTCAGCAGGTCAGTTTGACACACAAAACCAACATTAGACTGTTTGTCTCCTGGTGAGTTAGTAATGGCCTGCAAATTTGGGCCTATTCTTATAAAAAAAAAGTCAGTATGTCCCATTTTCATGGGTGAAAGATTTATAAAAGCAACAAAATTAGTACAATGGGTTTTATAGACTTCACATTATATAAGAATATTCATGTACTGTTTTCTTATGGAGTTCTAATAATGAAGCCTAGTTTGGGTTTAATGAAATTGTATGATTAGAGATAAACATTAGCTCCGTTTTGAATGGGGAAGGCATTTTAATCATCCGTTAGATTTAGTACATACTAGTTAGATTGAGATTGCTGTCTGGTGTGCTGTTGTTTTATTTTTATAGCTTTTAATGATTCAGCCTACAGTACTTCCCGAAGGCAATTTCTCACAAAATTAATGAAATGCAGCATTATACACTTGTGTCAATCACACTGTGTTTGTGTGTGTGTGTGGGGGGTCAGACCGACCGAACGTGCAGGATCATGAGTTAGTGGAAAGACTACAGCAGCCATATGTGGATGCCCTGCACTCCTACATCAGAATAAAACGACCCAACGTGAGTATGATTTACATCTTTTAAAATACCTGTTATATTTTAAAATGTGATTTATTCCTGTAAATGCAAAGCTGAATTTTTAGCAGTCATTAATACCAATAGTCTTAAGTGTCACAGTCATGATCCTTCAGAAATCATTGTAAAAGGCTGATTTGCTTCTCAAGAACTATTTATTATCATTATCATCAATGATAACTATTGTCCTGCGTATAATTTTTGTGGAAACCCGTAATACGTTTTTTTCTAAATTATTAACGCATAGAATGTTTAAAGGGGTGGTAAAGTATGATTTTACTTTTCTAACTTTAGTTAGTGTGTAATGTTGCTGTTTGAGCATAAACAACTTTATCAAAGTTACAACGCTCAGAGTTCAAGGAAGATATTTGCTTTTAAATAAAAAAAGGACTACAACCAACAGCTCGTAGGGACTACACGACATTCCTCCTGGGTTAGTGACATCACCAACCCTAAAATTTACATAAACCCCGCCCCCAGGAATACGCAGTTCAAGTTGAGAAGAGGGAGAGTGGTTGTATAAGAATACATTTTTGAGTCAGCTCAAACTTTAGCATCCTTATTTTCACATGCAATAGAAAGTCACTCTCACAACAGTTCATATATGAGTAATTTATAGATTACATGAAATAATATCCTAACTGAAGATCAGCAACATAAATTCATCAACTAACCATTCAGAGACGTCCTGTTGTATTCTGGCTGTCACTTCTTGAGTCTCTCCATTTTGACTGACTCCATTTTAACATTAAAGGCAGAACAGTTTCTGCCATTTTAGTGTGATCGCAGCTGCTGCAAGCTCTTAAACCCCACCCTCTGCAGCAGCTCATTTGCATTTAAAGGGCCAGGCACAAAACTGTGTTTTTTTTGCGAACCCTAAAAAGTGACAACTTTAACATGCTATATAAAAATATCTGTGGGGCATTGCTAAACTTGACACACACACAGTGGGATGATTTCTTTAAAATAGAAAATTTTTGTCAGGACCACTATATAGTTTGTCTGTTGTGTCCTTTTACGTCCAGTAGATGGCACTGGTGATTCCACACTTGCATCAATAACATACAATAACAATTGACTATATAACCAGTGTTATTTTAGTATTATTTAAATACTATTATAGTATGTGTTAATATTTTTAATTAGCTTTATTTTATGTTTTCAATTTTTTATTTATTTTGCATTGTTCTTGTCATTTTATTTCAGTTTTAGTCATTTTTAATGCTTCAACTTAAACTTGTTTTATTTCATTTCTCATCTAATATTAGTTATATTTTATTTGAGCTTTATTTGGATGAACAAAAATACTTTTAATAGTTTTAGCAATAAAAGCACTGTATAACTGGTGAGGTTACTATGTATTCCTAATCATCCACTACTCTTTAATTACCACCAAAGGATCATCTGATGTTTCCCCGAATGCTGATGAAGCTGGTCAGCCTCCGCACACTGAGCAGCGTCCACTCAGAGCAAGTCTTTGCCCTGCGCCTCCAAGACAAGAAACTCCCGCCTCTACTTTCTGAAATTTGGGACGTGCATGAGTGAGCCTGACCTCCCCCTTCAGGACAGAATGAGCCATTGTCAGGGAAACCTGGGTGGGCAAGAGTCGTCTACAGACCGAACACGTGGTCCTTAAGGGCTGAAATGTCTCCCAGAGTCACGAGGAGCCTGGTTTTATCATTCTCTTCCTTGACATCTATATTTTGGACCCAGTGGTCAGTGAGCTGCTTCCTTTGAACGTGCTTTTGATAGACAGTATGGCCAGAAGTAGCTCAGGGACCGATCAAAACAGGTAGTCGGTTTTTGGGGGTTCCGGATGGGTTTGGATTCAGAGACTTGCTTGCTAGAGTGAGCGACCACAAACAATGTTTTTGTTTTCATGTTGTTGTTGTTGTTAATACTAAATGTTTCCAGTACCAAAAGCTTTGAGCAGGTTTTTGGCAATGGTTTCTACTATATAATTCACAGAAGAGGTTGTCTCTACGGTTGTTCATTACAGAAATGTTTATTTACAGTGTTTTGTGGTTCCACTCTGGCTGATTGTTTGGCTGACAGCATTCTGCTATTTTGAATTCGCATAGATCACTCACAGAAGTCTTCTGTTAATACAGGCTAATTTGATCATTTTTATTACATGATGTTTGACATGCATTTAGTCTTGTGATTCTTGTTAAAATGCAATCTTCTGTTAACACCCAAAGGTTTTTATAACAAAAATCAATCAGTGCTTTACCAGTGCTGGCCACATTGATTCAGACCCCATGTTACACTGATCCAGCATATCACAACATTCACGAGGAATTCTGTTTTCTGCTGGTTGGAATATTCAGAAAAAAAAACAACTAACAAGCCAAATGGCCTAATTTTATGAGGTCGAATGCACTGCCCAATGTTTCGGGAGTGTTTGAAAGTGCTTATCAGTGTAGAATATGGTTGACGGGGATCGGTAAGAGTCACTTTATCCGAATCAGTGTGCTGCTCAACTCACAGCGACTACTGAGATGCATATACCTCTGAAAACATAATGCAGACTATGATTATTCTTTTTCCATTACATTATCATGTTTAGTTACCACAATCTCCAACCTAACATGTCATGATGTGTTTTTTAGTTGTTGTTTTTTACTTATCAGTTCTTCTTGGTGGAGGCTGATATTGTTTGACAGTTCATTCTTAAAACATTAACATAAATGCACAAAATATATCTCAAGTTGGATGCCCAAGATGTCTTGATTACTGTGTTGTTTTTGCCCCCAGAATTTAACTCATGTAAAAAGTAACTCAAACAGTACAGTATATCTTCCAAAATCAGGGGTTGAGATTGTCATGTGACATTGACAGCCCAAGTTATTTCCTGTTTCATCACCTCACTGTATTTTCTTTTTTTATAATAACATTTTTATATTTAGCTCTATATACACCCATTCATCAATGCAGACAGTTTTGTCGACTTTTATTTCCACATACTAAATTATTGAAATCTTTAATATTCATTTTTGTGTGATTTGCAATTATCAAGCATAGTCTGTTTTAACAGACTCTTATTGTACCTCACTTATACATTATGATAATTTTCAGACAGTCTGAAGGCACTTAGAATAAATCCTGTCCTCATCAAGAGAGATTGGCAATGTAGGTGAAACAACCATATCACAGCATTAGCTCTGAAATAAGGGACTAGATAAGTGAGAGCACTTTGTAATGTCTACTATGCTCTGTGACATTACAAAATCCAGTGTGGCTATGTACAATTCAGGTTTACTGATCTTAAAAAACACTTTTATGATGGATGGGTTGTTGTGAATCAATTTAAAATGCAAAAA